ATACAGGCTGCCTCTTAGCATCCCGGCCTCCTAGAAAAGGAACCCCCGGGATGGGATGAGTTGACTCAGTGGGTAAAGGCACTCACCGCCTAACCTGAGGACCTGAGTTTGATCCCAGGCACCCACGTGGTGGGTAGAGAGAACCCGCTCTCTAACCTCACACGCACACGCGCGCACACACACACACACACACGCACATGCACACACACCACACACACACACACACACACACACACACATACATATAAACAAAATGCAATAAAAAGTTTTAAACAGTAAACCAGAGGTCATCACACCCTAGTGGAAACCCACGGCAAGACGAAACCCACCTTGTGCTCGAGCCCACTACCTACTGCCCCCAAACTAGAGCTGGCCCTGCTGGACAGAGAGAAATAAGGGCAGGGCTGATGAGGGTCAGCATGTCTGATGAGGTCACCTTCCTGCAGTGGGCTGGCACGAGGCACACACCCTGACACACTCAAACACAGGCATCATACAAAGTTGCACATTGCAGATATGTATCACATACACTTATATAGAACATGAACAAACCTACATGTGCAAACACATGAGCACATGCACATACATGTGTCCCAACCTAATATACAGAACAGAAACACATACATACCTACAACATATACATATGTATAAACACATGTCCCTACACTCCCTTTTTTTGGGGGGGGGTCTTTTTGAAACAGAGTGTCCCAATAGCCCCAGCTGGCCTGGAACTTGTTATGTAGACCAGGCTGGCCTTGAACTCACAGAAATCTGCCTGCCCCTGCATTCCATACATTTCTTGAAGCCTCCTGCCATACCACCATCAAGGATGTGGGCTCACGACTAGCAAATGGGTTCCAGGGGCTTGATCAGAGCCAGTGTTACCACTCCATAAGCCCTCTGCCTGAAGAGCTGATGCTGGGCTTCTGCCAACACAAGTTAATGCTTTCATTCATTCATTCATTCATTCATTTATTTTGAGACAGGGTCTTGCTATGTTGCACTGGCTAGCCTGGAACTCTGTGCAGACCAAAATCACAGAGATCTGCCTGCTTCTGCCTCCCAAGTGCTGGGATTAAAGGCGTATGCCACCACACCCGGCAATGGTTCCCTTTTGTTTGAATCTGAGTTTCTGATTTTCTGCAGTGGCAACATTCTAATGCACACACAGGAAATTACCTTCTCTTCTTATCACTAGAACCTGCTGTAGGGAAAACACCTGTTCCAGGGACTAATACTACAGAGCCTTTAGGGCAAGCCCCAGCCCGTCCCCAAAGAGAGAAAGTGAGGGGAAGGAGGGGAAGAGGGGGAGGGAGAGGGAGGGGGGAGAGAGGGAGGGGAGATCAGCAGGATACAGTAGTGGGAGATGAAGGGGTGTAGGGCTTCATGCTGCCACTGCCCTGCATACCTCTAATCAGATTCAAGGTCAGGTTGCCGGGCTTGGGTTAGCGAGAGCAGGACTGGCTCTGCAGCCCCCTTGACCAGGCCAGGATTTTGATCCCTCAGGAAGGGACTGGGCAAAGTGGGGCATGCCCCTGTACTTGTGGCTTGGCCCTGTTTGTCTAGTCTTCACCATAGAGAGATCACACAAGGAAAGCACCACACTCATGGGTCCCTCTAGTCCACTGTGAAGGCATTGCCATTCCCCAGAGTCAGAAGTATGGGTGGGCTACTTGGTTTCTAGGGTCCTGGGGGAGGTTAACTCTGCCCAACAGCATGTCTTGAGATGAAATATTGGGCCCACTCAACCTACAAACATTCCTGATGAGCTGGGTGGCAGCCCTGAAGGGACCTGACAGTACCCCGTCCCTGCCGTGACCCAGCTTGGGAGAGGAGATGCTCTCAAAGGCCCTCCATCAAGCCTGGGACTCAAGCCAATGTCCTAATCCACAGCCTAAGAGAGGCCTAGAAGGACTGCTTGTAAGGAACTGTGTGCAGAGGGCAGGTCAAAACTCAGTTATCAGCCTACAGTGACCCAGAGGCACTGAGGAAGGAACCTGTGACCAGCTTGTCTATTTCTACCAGATTCTAGATCTTAAACACTTTTTTATTAAGATGTAATTTGATCCAGGCATGATGGCACCTTGAATCCCAGCACTCAGAATGCAGAGGCAGGCTGATCTATGTAAGTTCAAGGCCAGCCTGGACTACATAGCAAGTTCCAGGCTAGTCAGGGCTACATAGTGAGACCTTGTCTTTAAAAAAGTCGGGAGGATGGGGGAGCTGGAGAGATGGCTCAGTGGTTAAGAGTACTGGCTGCTCTTGCAAAAGACCCAGGTTCAATTCCCAGCACCCACATGGCAGCTAACAACTATCTGTAACTCCAGTTCCAGAAGATCCAATGCCTTCTTCTTCTGGCCTCTGAGAGCATTGAACGACACAGGTGCGTTTACATACATGCAGGCAATACACTCATACACAAAAAATAAGAATAATAAAGTATTTTTTAAAAAAGCTAGGCATGGTGGTGCAGGCCTTTAATCCTAGAACTTTGGAGGCAGAAATAGGCAGATCTCTGTGAGGCTGAAACCAGCCTGGTCTACATGGCAAGTTTCAGGCCAGCTGGGACTACAGGGAAACCCTATCTCAAAAAAAAAATGTAATTCATATACGCTCCATCCATTTAAAGTGCACAGCTCTGTGTGTTTAGTGTATCAAAAGTGTGTGGTCAAAGCCACACTTGGGGGCAAATGCCCTTAGTCCCAGCACTCAGGAGCCAGGCAGGTGGACTTGAGACTGAGGGGCCAGCCTAGTCTATGAAGCAAGTTCCAGGCCAGCTGGAGCTACAGGGAGACCCTGTCTCAAAACAACAACAACAACAAAGTGTGGGATCACGGCAATAATCAAGTATAGAGCATTTTCACCACCCCAGAAAGAAATCTCAAACCCCTTAGGATTCACACCCTGTTCCCCTTTCCCCTAGACCCTAGCAACCACTAGCAGATTTGCTTATTCTGGGAGTTTCATACAAACCTGTGGGAATGACTTTTTTCTGGGAAAGACTCTTTTGTTTTTTGTTTTTTGATGTAGACTAGACTGGCTTCAATCACAGAGACCCTCCTCTGCTGCCTCCGAAGTGTTAGGATCGAAGGCATGTGCCACTATGTGCAGCAATCATGTTTGGAGAACACTTAATTCAGTCTAAGAAAAACAATGTATTCAGTCCTACGGTGATCTGGAATTCTGATGTTATTCTTACAAGCTAAGCTGATTGCAAAGCGTTGATCTTATACCATGTTCCCTATCTGTGATTCAGTTATGTCCTAGACGCACAACAATATATGGTTGCATGAGATGTGACAGTGATGACACTGAAAACAACAATGATGTCACAAACGATGTCTCCTCCTGAAATGTTGGAAGCAACATGGAGCATGGGTTGATGACATCTGTCTGCAACTTGTGTGCTGTTCTGAGTCAATGGGTTGGAAGAACAACTTTCTCCTTTGTAGAACTGTTATCTAAGACTTTGTGCCTTCCCATATTGTGCTTGATATGCTGGTCAATAAATGTGAGCGGAGCCCTTTGTTAGGGAGAAGACTAAGGGACTAGAGAAGAGACTCAGGTCTGAGCGGAATCTGAAAACCTCAGGTGTTAGACCCATCCTGGTTCAGCTACTCCAAGAATGAAGTTTCTCATTAATGGGGCACCACTATATTGCATGTGAGGAATCGGGTACCACCACACAAATTGACTTGTATGATGGTGTGTAGTCTTTTTTTTTTTTTTTTTTTTTTTTTTTTTTTTTAAAAAAAAAAAAAATGTCCTGGAACTCACTATGTAGACCAGGCTGGCCTCAAACTCACAGAGACCAGCTTTGCCTCTGCCTCCGGAGTGCTGGGACCACAGGTGTGTGCCACCATGCCCGGCTAGTCTTTGGTTTTTAAAAATATTTTGTCATTTTTATTTCATGTTTATGAGTATATTGCCTGCATGCATGTAAGTGCACCCATATCAAGGTCAGAAGAGGGTGACAGATCCTCTGGAACTGGAGTTACAGATAGCTGTTAGCTACCATGTAGATTCTGGGAATCGAACCCAGGTCCTCTACAAGAGCAGCCAGTACTCTTAACCACTGAACCATCTCTCCAGCCCCATGTGTGGTCTTTTGTATCTGGCTTCTTTTGTTTATAGTGGGTTTTTCAAGATTTGTCCACATTCTGCACTGTTTTGGTGCTTCTTTCCTCCTAATCACCGAGTGGTACCCCATTGTGGATTGGCGCTGTTGCTCCGTGGTGGAGTGCTTGTTTGCATAGCATGTGCAAGACCCAGAACTGGACAAAATACTGCATAGATACACCACCTTTTTCTCATCTATGTAAGAGTTGATGGACATTCAGGTTATTGGGGGTTATTTGCACTATTTGACTATTTAAAATACTACTATGAACATTGGCATACATGCACATATCTATCTGACCTCTCACTTTCTGCATTTGTTTGTTTGTTTGTTTATTTATTTATTTATTTACTTATTTATTTGTGAAGATCAAACCCAGGGCCCCACACATGCTAAGCAAATGCTTTACCACTGGTAGCCACATCCCCAGCCTGACCTCTTGCTTTGAACATGGAGTGGATAGGTCACTTGTAACTCTATATATACTTGTTTGAAAAGCTTCCAAATTAATTGGAAAGCAGCTGTGCCCTTTGGCAAGGACCTGCAGGTTGGTCTCTCCATATTCTTGCTATTGGTTACTTCGTATGACAGACAACTCCGTGGGTGTGATGAGATCGAGGAACTCTGATTTGCATTCTCCTGGTGTCTAATGACGCTGAACCTCTTTTCATGTGCTTGTTGGCAATTTGTGCACGTGTACATCTCTGGAAAAGTTCATTCAGAGCTTTTGTCATGCCCTAGATGTTTAAGAAAGGAAAAGCGCTGCAAAGTTTAGGTACCAGGACCAAATGAAGCCACGCTCCCTGTTACCGCGGACGCTCGTGCTGCCCAGGCGGGCTCCCGGGAGGAGGAGGCTGGGGCATGGGCCGCGGTTCCGGGAGGGTGCCCTGGGCGCGCCGCCGCTTCCCCTCCGGACGCAGTTTCGCTTTTGCATCCAGGCCGCGCGCTTGCTCGCTGCTCCCGGGCTGAGCAGGCGTGAGACCCCTCCTTCTGCAGCAAGTCCTCACTTCGCTTTGCTCGGTGGACGCAGAGATCTCGGCAGGGCAGAGCGGTCGGCCACGGTGAGCCATCCCGCCGCTCCCCTTCCCCTGTACAAGCTTCTCTCGCAGCCTGGCCCGCACTGTGGCCCTGCTGCCGGCGCTGGGTGGGGATGCAGCGCTTCCAGAAGCCCTGCAACCCAAACAAGGAGACCGCGGTGAAGGCCTCCCACTAGTCACACCTGGGTGGCCCCACCTGCTTTGGGCTTTGATTCCGAGAAAAGCTCTCCAAGCTTCCTGGACCCAATGCTGGGCCTCTGGCCCCCAAGTGCCTTCCTGTCCACCCTCCAGCTTTAGCTGGCCCTGGTGCCCAGTTCCCTAGGGGTAGGACTGCTCCTCCACACGGCCCAGGTTGCCTGCCTCTGCCCCAGGCTTGTTTTGGCCTCTGACCCTTGAAGGTTTGGCCAGGGAGAGGTGCCTCCTGCAGCTGAGGGCACAAGACAGAGCCCCGGAGGAAACAGCTGGAGCTTGCTGTGTGGACCTCTGTGACAAGTGCCCCAGAAGTGGGTGCTTCTGTTCCTGTCCCAGCTCTCTGGGGTTCTCAACCAGGGAGTGCTGAAAGGTGTCATAGAGCTCAGCAGGTGGTCAAGGGCTGCCCATAAGAACTGATGGTGTGGATAGTCCAGGCCCTGCTGAAGGTTGTCCCCTCCCCCAAGTGTTCATGGCCCCAGGGGGAGACAGACAAGTGGGCACTAAGTGGACACTGTTTCTTTTTGTGTCGAGCGAGTAGCGGCCAGGGCAGAACCTTCCTATCAGCCAAAATGTGCCAGGACTGGTAAAGCAGGGCTGCTTTGGAGGAACGGGCTTCCCTGGCAATGGAGGCAATCAAGTACCCACTCACCCACCTGCCTGCAGGATCATGCCTTCCACCTTTGAGCTTGTGGTCCGGAGTGTGCTCCAAGAGCTGGACCAGAGAGGGGACCTCACCCCAGTGGATAGCCTTCAGAAGTCTACCAGCTTCAGGCCCTACTACCTGCTCAGCAGGAAGCACCCAAGCTCTTGGTTCTGGAAGCCCCGTTACACATGTGTCAACCTGTCAATCAAGGACATCCTGGAGCCTGATGCCCCAGAACCAGGTATTCACTTTCCCCCCAACCCCCGATCCTGATCAGAGTCCTAGTGTTGGGCAGAAGAGGGGAGTGGAGTAGGCCAAGCCTGCCATCTTACTGGGCTCCACCAGCTCTGGGCTTCTGGCCCTATTTCCAGAGGAGGGACCTCTTTGAAGGTTCCACTGCTACAGAGTGGAACAGGACCTCAGGTCTGGTCTTCCTTCAGAACCGGAGTGTGGTGGCCCCTTCCGCATTGATGACGCTGTGGATGGGAAGGCGCAGGGCAGTGTAAAGCTGGAAGCCCCAGGACAAGGGAAGATCTCAGGTGGGGCTGTGGTCTCTGGGAGTTCCAGTGTTTCAATCATCATGCACACACTGTGTGTGGCTCCAAACACCTGGGAGACCATGCACCGGGAGAGGTGAGCCCCCAAGGGGATTCAGGCCCTCTGAGCTTGGGTAACCGTACTCTTGGGGAGGCCACTGAGTGTTGGACATCAGGAGGGTTCCAAGGCAGTGTCTGTCAGCACTGAGGTGGGGGAAGGAGATTACATGAGTCACTGAGCCTCAGTTGCCAGGGACCAGTATCCAGAGGGCCAGGGTGTCCAGGCAGGGCCCAAAGTCCTTGGCATCAGGCTGAGCCCCAGACTGCCATGAGAAGGAAGTATATATGGGATGTGGGTGGACAGTACAGAATGGAGCTTCTCCACAGGTCACACATGTCCACTTCTCCCTGCTAGACCTCATCCTGTCTATAACTACCTAGACACTGTTGGGAACAATGGAGGAGGGAATCCAAGCCTGTGCCCACAGACTCCTGAATCCTCTAACCATTTTACCCCATCTGTCAGCAGGACAGTAGGGAGGGAAGCTGTTCTGTGGTGGGCAAGCCCCAGCCATCTTTCTGTAGGCGCCTGCGGCAGCCTGAACACAAAATCCTACAGCAGCTGCGGAGTCATAGGAACGATGTGTTTGTGGTGACAGAGGTGCTGCAGACACAGGAGAAGGTGCAGGTCACTCAGACTCGCAAGAAGGGGGCCTCAGGCCAGTTTGCACTGCTTGGAGCCATGTGCTTGCAGGTGTGTGGTGAGCCCTAGGCCCTACCTGGTCCCACTCAGACACACAGCAGTAGCAGGGGTGACATCCCAGGCAGCAGCCAGTCTGGGAGCTTCTAAGACCCTTCCATAAGCATCCCTGAGTCCCATACTTGGCCAATGAGCTGGACCTGCCAAAGACTCGTTTGGCTACCACCAGTGGCAAGCTTGTCAGCAGCAATGGCCTACAGCCCTTCGTCCCACGGCCTTGAGCCTATATCTATCCCTCAGGGTGAGGGCGAGGGCCACTTGAGCAAGAAGAAGATGGTGACCATTCCTGCAGGCAGCATCCTCGCATTCCGAGTGTCCCAGCTGCTCATTGGTTCTAATTGGGGTGAGTGGGGCGGGGGGCGTTGTCCCTAGAACCCATACAGTGGCAGAGAAGCAGGAAGCCTGGGAGGACCACCAGCTAGCTGGGGGATGCTGTGAGCATTGGCTGCATGACCTAGACAGGGTGGTTGAGTGTCCCAGACACTAGTGGGGGGTGGTAGGGGAGGCTCTCCCAGGCATTGTGTGGGGGTGGTCGGCAGGCTTGCGTGGTCTTGGGGCCCTGTGGATAAGGGGGCTGATGACCTTCTCCATGGCAGATATTCTTCTCGTCCCTGATGAAAAGAAGAGGACCTTTGAGCAGCCCCCCAAAGGTGAGACCCAAGCCCTCCCGCCTTGCCTTTTCAATGAGCAAAGCACTGTCCTTCAGGTGTGAGGCCCTCTCCTGTGCACAAGGCACACAGTGAGTGATGCTCAGGGGATGCTGCTGGGCTTGCTTGACCTCCCACCTACCCTAGACTACTAGTAGTGGATGAGGTGCAGGGCTGGGAGGGTCCAGGGAAGATCTCAGCCCTCTCTAGCATGTGACAGCTTCCATGGGTCTCTGCACCCAGCAGCCTCCCTCTCCCTGCCATCCTCATGCCCCTCCCAGGCCACAGAAATGCAGGTGACCAGCAGCAGCACACAAAACTACGATTCATCCATGAGCATCTCAGGTTCCTGTCAGGTCAGTACCCTCTTGACCACCTTAGAAGCCCCCTGTGGACCTTGCCTCTGTCCTCTGGGACTACCCTTCCCAACCAGTGCTCCCCAGGACCCTGTAGGCATCAGGCAGTGCTGCCTTCTGTTCCTACAGATGGAACCCCTGGGGAAGGAGTGGTCAGTGAAGACTTCCAAGGCTTGGGTGTGGAGGTAGAGGCCGGCTCCTCAGAACTGAAGCACTTGGAAATGGAGTTGAAGCAACAGCTACTGGTGAACATAGGGAGGATCCTGCAGGATTTGCCCAGCCTGGAAGCCTTGGAGGCCTCAGTGAGTGGGAGTGCTGGGGGTGGACAGGCCCTGCTCCAGCCTCTCCAGTCTCACTCACCCCATCCATGTCCCAGCTGGAGCAGGGCTTATGCAATGGTGGGCAGGTGCAACCTCTGGATGGCCCAGCAGGCAACATCCTCCAGTGCCTGGTGCTTCCCTCTGGAGAGCTGGTGCCACAACTGGCTGCCCCCGTCTTCTACCTGTTAGGAGCACTGACTGGTGAGCAGCCCAGGGGGAGATTGGTATGGGGCAGGAGGAAAGGACCGGGTTCTATATTGGGACTTCCAGAACCCCCTCTCAGTCCAGATCTTTCCCCAGTGCTGAATGAAACCCAGTACCAGCTGCTGGCTAAGATGCTGGAGACAGGGGTACTGTCAGAACAGCTGGAGCTGGTGAGAGGGAGTAGGGGGGAATGCAGTGGGGTCCTGGGTGCATCTGGAAAGGTTGGCATGGGCAGGTGCTACATGCCCTGGGGCTTCTACAGCCTCCTCCGTTGTCCTGGTAGGTGGAAAATCTCTTGGAGCAGAGCACCCCATGGCAGGAGCAGAGTTCTGTGACCCTGCCCCCCAGGTTCCTTGGGGGCAGCTGGGATGAGGACGCTCCTGCCTGGGTCTTGCTCGAGGAATGTGGCCTAGAACTTCAGATGGACGCCCCCCAGGTGCACTGGAAGCCAAACGCCCAGGGCCCTGTGTGTGCGCTTTACGCCTCCCTGGCCTTGCTGTCAAGACTAAGCCAGGAGCCTTGCTAGCCTACATGCCTGGGAAGCTCTCCAACCAGGGCAGAATTGTGCCCAGCCATTGGCAGCCCTGCTAAAGTCCAGATCCTAATTTGACCACAGGGCCAGTATACCATGAGGCTCAGGAATTGGGAAAACTCAATAAATGTACAAAGGAAAGACTCATGACTGAGTTTTTGAGGAGTCCTGGATCATTGGTAGGATGGGTAGGGTTGGAGACTGTCCTCAAAGAATCAGGGGGTAGATGGGGGCCGTCACCTCACTCCTGCCACCCCCTGAGGCTGAAATGAGCTTGCCCTGTTTTGGACATAGCCATACCCCATTTGCCCATACTTACTTGCCTGGGAAAGGTGCACAGCATAGTTTTGGGGTAATGAATCTATACTTGACACAAGTATACTTCAGGGAATTTGGGGCACATAACTGAGGAGCAGACCCATACCTACCACAGTGCTATGCTACAGAGGTACAAGTATGACTGACAGGCAGACAGACCCTGGGAATTCAACAGTCTCATGGTTCAGGGGAGTCTGTTCCTCGAAAGGGCTCAGCGGCCCCGGGCTCCACATCACTCTCAAAAGTTTAGACAGCCAAGAGAAGTGTGTTTGTATTTGGTACTGGCTACCCCAACTACACAGTACAGCTTGGTGAGAGGTGGAGGAAGCAACAGCTCCCCCTTCTGTCCTGGCACATCATGGACATGCAACTTTCAGGACTTGCTAAGCAGAAGGAACCAAAGGTTCTGGTGTGGCTGAGGCAATGAAACTCCCAAGAAAACCAACAATGAAAATCATACTGAAATAGAAGGCAGAATGGCCTCGAATGTCGTGTCACAGAAAAACCTCTTCTATTAGCCTGCACACAGTGAAGAAGCTCAAACCTCTCTGGCCCACCGTCCTCCTTTGAAAACTTTATTCGTTTTTTAGATGAGCATACGAAGAAATGGGTGTTCCATCATGGCATCTTCATATATATATGTGTCACTATATTCTGGTCTTCTTGGTTCTGGACTCCACTCTCATTCTCTGGGCCCCTCCCCCCTCCAACTGGTTCCTTTTCTCCTTCAATTACCCCTGCTTCTGCTCTCTTATTACATACATTCCATTATCCCCTTTCACACCTTTCATTTATTTATTTACTTTAAATATTTTATTATTTTTATTTGATGAGTATGAGTGTATTGCTTGCGTGTATATAAGTGCATTGCCTGTAAGTGCAACTGTGTCGTGCAGTGCCCCTGGAGGTCAGAAGAGGGCGTCGGATCCCCTAGAACTGGAGCTGTGGATGGTTGTTAGCTGCCATGTGGGTGCTGGAACTCGAACCCCAGTCCTCTGCAAGAACATCCAGTGCTCTTAACCACTGAGCATCTCTCCAGCCCTCACACCTCTTTAAGATCTTTCTTTCTTACGATTCCTTTTCTAGTTTTGTGACCTATAAGCACACATATGTAAACACACACACACGTACCCACATATGTGAACTTCAAAATCTAGGTTCAGAAAATGAGAGAAAATATGTTGCCTTTGTCTTCTGGGTCTGGCTTATCTCACTTAACATGGTGATTTCCAGTTACTTCCATTTTCCTGTAAAAATCATGATTTCATTTTTCTTTATGGTTAGATACAATTCTGTTGTTTATGTCCACAACATTTTGATGGACTGTTTCCCATCCTTTGACTCTCAGTCTTTGAGAGTCTTTACCAATAAGGCATGCTTCTTCGAGAAACTAGTTGGATCTAGTTTTTCTGTTTGTTTTTGTCTTAATTTTTAACTATTTATTACTTTGTGTATGAGTGTTATGCCTGCATGTATGTAAATGCACCTGTGTTGTTCAGTGTCCACAGAGGTCAGAAGAGGATGTTGGATCCCCTGAAACTGGAGTTACAGATGGTTGTTAGTACCATGTGGGTGCTGGGATTTGAACCCAGGTCTTCTGCAAGAACAAGTGCTCTTAACCTCTGTGCCATCTCTCCAGCCCCCTGGATCTAGGTTTTTTGGGGTTTTTTTGTCTTTTTGAGATAGGGTCTCCCTGTAGCCCCAGCTGTCCTGGAACCCACTATGTGGACCAGGCAGGCCCTGAACTCACAGAGATCCGCCTGCCTCTGCCTCCTGAGTGCTGACATTAAAGGCGTGTGCCACCACGCCCAGCTTGGATCTAGTTTTTTATCTGATTGGCCAGTCTGTCTCCTTGTTGGAAGATGACCTTGGACTTCTGATTCTCCTGCCTCTAACTCTGGAGTTGTAGGATTACAGGCATGTGCCACTACACCTGGCTTATGCAGTGCTAGGAATACAACCCAAAGATTCATATATGCTAAGCAGGTACTCTACCAAGTAAGCTACATTCCCCAGCCTGTCCTGCCCTTAGAGCTTTTAGTATTGTTTCTTTGTATTTTTAATATCTTGACTGTAATATTTTGAAGAGTTCTCCAATTATGTATATTTGAGGGTATTGCACTTAAATGTTTGTATTTCTCTAGATCTGAGAAACTTTCTATATGATTTCATACATGCTCTATGGCTTTAGTATTTTTTTTTTTTTGTCTTTTTGAGACAGGGTCTCCCTGTAGCCCCAGCTGGCCTGGAACTCACTAGGTAGATGAGGCTGGCCTTGAACTCACAGAGAGCCACCTGCCTCTGCCTCAGGTGCTGGGACTAAAGGTGTGTGCCTCCACTCCCAGCTTCCTTATTGATATTTGAATGTAGTATTTTGTCAACCTTGTCTTCCAGCTCTGATACTCTTTCTTCGGCTTGGTTGAGTCTATTGGTAAACACCTTCCACTGTGATTTTGAGTAACTAGAGAGCCAAGCCTGAGTGAATGGAATGGAAGCAGTCCTGGCCCTAGAGAGCCAGGCCACAGGCAGATCCAACTACACCCAAGCCCCATTTTGAGGCTCCAGTGAGCTCTCCAGTGAAAGGGACCATGTGAGAGTATTTGAAACTGGAGATTGGCTGGGCCTATGTAGAAAGGGAGCGCCTGTCAGGCTTCCTAGTTCTAGCTACAAGATTTACCATGGGCAGGCTTTCTGTACCAGAGCTACAGTATCCCTCTGGAAGGCCAGGCCACAGTGCTACTTGAATCTTCCCTGGACTGGGACTCCAAGATGTCTTGGTAAAGTCACACATCCCTGAGTCCTGTGCATACTTTATATGAGCCTTATACCCCGCAGGACTGTCAGCAAGTAGATAAGAGCCAGTGCAGGGTAGATATGTATCTAGAGCACCAGACATATAGGGCAAGAGACAGCTTGGCTCCCAAGAGCCATGGGGGTAGGGTGACAAGGGCTACCTATTCACCACAGCTGCCTCCCCACCTGAGTCTACATCTGAGAGTGGGCTCCTTAGCACCTCTGGATTTGTTCATGGACCAGTCCATCTGTGATGAGTCTGTGCTTGCAGGGGGAGATAGGTATCATGCACTTACTGAGGCCTGGCTTCCAGGCTTCAAGGAGGATGGGAAGGCTTGGGGAATGCTAATGAGGGGATCCAGTGAGCCATGTTCTGACACCAGCCCTGCATGTGGGGGACTCCTGGTCCTGAGAGCCTGAGAACAGAGGGACGAACAGATCCCCACATGCTTCCAACGCCTTTTCTTTCCTCCTCCTTTGTGGGGGTCTGGTGACCTGCTCCATCCCCCTTGATACATTTCTTTTATGTTGACTCCCATTTTGTAATTTGATCTTGAAGACCCAAATGAATGCATCATCCTTCCCCTGACTCCAGGAAGACCCATACCCTTGATCTGACACTAACCTGCCCTGAGGACCAACTAATGCCAGTAATCAATGTTTTCTCTCTCTTTTTTTTTTTTTTTTTTTGCAGTACTGGAGATTGAATCCAGGGCCTTGAGCATGTTAGGTAATCACCCCACCGTTGACCCTCCACCTCATTTAATACTTTTTAAAAATTACAATTTATTTGTGTGTATGTGTGTAGGTACATGTGTCATTTGAAGGTCAGAAGTGGGTCCCAGGCATCAAACTCAGGTGGTCAGGCTTGGCAACAGGTACCTTTACCTGCTAAGCCATCTCACTGGCCCTGTATTTTCCTACTCTTTACCATGTCACATTTAAATGTTACACAACTGAATGGTTGAAGCCACCAGTCTCTATGTTTAGACCATAAAGAATTCTTTGGGAGTCATCAACTCATGATAGTATTTTGGTCTTTTTGAGACAGGGTCTCCCTGTAGTCCCAGCTGGCCTGGAACTCACTATGTAGACCAGGCTGGCCTTGAACTCACAAAGATCTGCCTGCCTCTGCCTCCCAAGTACTGGGATTAAAGGCGTGCACCACCACACCCAGCTATTATTTCTATTTTATGTGTATGTGTGTATTGACTGCATGTAGGTAAGTGCACCCATGTCGTGCAAGGAGGTCAGAAGAGGCTATCAGATCCCCTGGGACTGGAGTTACAGACAGTTGTTAACTGCCATGTGGGTGCTGGGATTCAAACCCGGGTCTTCTGCAAGAACAACCAGTGTTCTTAACCACTGAGCCATCTCTCCAGCCCCCTATTATTTTTATTTTATATGTATGAGTGTTATGCCTGCATGTGTGTAAGTGCACCCACGTCATGTAATGCCCTGGAGGTCAGAAGAGAGTGTCGGATCCCCTGGAACTGGAGTTACAGGTGGTTGTCAGCTGCCATGTGCCAGAAATCAAACCTGGGTCCTCTGCAAGAATAGACAGTTTCTTAACTGCTGAACCAACTCTCTAGTCCCACATTTTTTTTAAATTAGATTTTATTAGGCTGGGCGTGGTGGTGCACGCCTTTAATCCCAGCACTCGGAGGCAGAGGCAGGTGGATCTCTTTGAGTTCAAGGCCAGCCTGGTCCACATAGTGAGTTCCAGGACAGGTGGGGCTACAGGGAGACCCTGTCTCAAAAAGACCAAAAAAAATTAGATTTTATTTATGTGTATATGTAGGGGTACACATGTGTCATGGCAAAACATATGAAGGTCAGAGGACAGCTAGTGGGAGTTGGTTCTCTGCTTCTACCATGTGGGTTCCAGGGATCAAATTCAGATGGTCAGGCTTAGGTGTCAGGTACCTTTACTGGTCCTGTATTTTTGAGACAGGGTCTCACCAAGTTGCCTAGGCTGGCCTTGAACTTATGATCCTCCTGCCTCAGCTTCCTGATTCCAGTGTCACCACCTCTGG